TGTAATAGGGCAAGATGTAAGGTTGATGGCGTCTAATGTGTCTCTAATTACATAAAATGACTTTCGTATATTTTGAGGTCCCTATAAATAATGGGTGACTTGGGCTGTACCTCAGTACTCTTGAATTTAGTATTTTCCTGTTCTCTCATGAACACTGGTAGGGTCTAGAAAGCTTGGTAGGGTAGGATCTTTTAAACTTGCTTACACGTATCCCATCCTCTAACAGTATACTCAATGACAAGTGTAATCAGAGAGTTTGGGGGGAAAAAATCATTGTAGAATGTAACATCTAGTAATCCTCCCTTATTGGGTCAAAGGGAGCTGGGAAATCGTCATGGGAACCTGGTTGTTGATGGTGATCCGTTGTCGGGTTTGACATCGGAGCATTCCTGTGATCGCTCTTCTGAACCTGAATAAAAAGTCCACAAGGACGTTAATAGGTTGTAACTACTATACAGTGTGTACCTTTACTGTAATTATACTTTAAATACACATAGGTATTATGGTCACTTATTATAAAGTGGGATCAACAAGAGGAAGGGGCGAAAGCTTACTTTTTGTTGGCAATAACGTAGATGCAGGGGTTGTAGAAGGTGGAGGACTTGGCAAAGAGAGGACCGATGATAGCCATGGGGGCAGGAATCTTTTTGGGGTCCCCAAAGGATGCCCATAGGCACACTATGGAATATGGTGACCACGCCACCAGGAACATGACAATCATCACTATCGACATCTAGCCAGCAACGACAGATCAGAGAGAAAGATTCATGTAGATTTAATATACTGTACATACCCTTCTGCAGATTGTTACTGCTCGTTATAACCATAGAATCCTAGAATCCTGCCTGTCAGTCAAACTGTGAGGTTAAAATGGTCCATATTGAGAGGCAAAACTGTGCTAGAAGAAGAAACATGTGAACACACAGGACTGGATGGAGAAACACTGGCTTACCTTAGTCACATCCATCTGGTCTGACCAGTCCATGTTAATGCTGTCCAAACGGTTGCTGGCTTTGTATCTCTTCATGGTGACAGACACACTATAGTAGCAGTAGAACATCATTGACAAAGGGATGATGAAATTCACAGCGATCACTGCCATGGTGTAGGAGACAAAGCCCCTGGAAAAGAGTCACTGTATATGATTAATTACATAATATTCATTTTATCTTCATGCCATATAATCCTTGAAATTAACCAAATATATTTTAAGTACATCCCAACTCACGCATCATTGTTTCTCCAGTTGATGGTGCAGGTGGCACCAGTGGGGTCAGGGGCATAGCCGGCCCAACCCACCACAGGCATGGAGGACCAAAAGACTGCGTTGAGCCATGCAGCCAGAATGAGGAGTGTGTACGAGCGGGTGGTCATCTTCTGCCCTGGAGAACAGTAGGAAAAGCAGGGAAAAGGCTTAGAGGTCATGCAGATGTTGTAGGCTCTTGTCAGTTCACAGAGATTAGCCTATATTTTACCAGGCCAATAGTAGCTTCTAGCAAGAGACTACAGACAGATGAAATACAAACATCCATGGAAAGTAATAGAAGACTTTGTAAATACCTATGTCAGGTCTACAGATGGTTAGGTAGCGGTCAATGGCCACCACAGTCAGCAGTCCAATACTGGCCATCCCAAAGAAGATGTTCAGAGCTGCATAGATCTGGAGGGGAAAACAGTCAGCAGCATCCCTCATTTCAGAATCTGTTTAGCAGGATTAAAACATTGGTTTCATGTGGTCTGAAAACAAAGAACAGGTGAAATTGAGTGGATACCCCCACGGATTTGACTTCCTCCTGTCCAGGTCTTTCAGATCTCCTAAAGCAGATTAAGAGGAAGTCTGTTTACACTATTGAGATGCAACTTGGGAGCCCTAGACATAACCACAGACTGGATTTGGGCCTCGGTCAGCATATCCAATCAGAAGGCCATTGTCAATTTCACCAACCCACCTCATGTCCAATATGTGGTTCTCAAGCTCAAGGCTTCAGCCCCAGATTAGCGTCACATGGCACTGAATTTCTGATTTCACACAGCACCTCCTAAACACCATAATCTCAGATCATTAGAGAAGTCTAGAAAATGTCATAAGAAATGCTATTTCTGGCTTGGCCACGTGAGGTGTTAAACACTGTTGCACTGAGGGGCAGTTCAAACCAATCCAGCAAACAATAAATCCATTTTCCTGTCCTGTGTGATATAGAGTTAATATAAAGCATATGAAGTTTGCCTGAATTTACTTCGTACATTTTCATAGCGTACAAATATTTTTTACTTCAGGTTTTACAAATGGCAGGTTCATTCAAACAGTGCCATTGACTAACACAGTGGGCTCCGCACATTACACCAACCTGACATCCAGTGTAGCCAAACTTCCAGCTCCCGTGGAGGTCAGAGGCAGCAGACATGGGATAGCCTATGCCGGCCACTCCAATGTCAGTGAAGGCCAGGTTGATGATAATGGCGTTGGTGGCATTTCGCAGCTCCTTGAACTTGACAAACATCACCAGTACTACAATGTTGCTGGCCAAACTGATGACACCTGGGGAAGAGAAACCTAAGCTTGAAAATACTCAGATCTTTGTGTTTTCTGATCAGGGCCAGACTGGGACAAGAATTCGGCCCTGGCATTTTATCCAAACCAGCCCACATCACTGGGCGAGCCACCAAGCTAACGACTTAGGCTATTTTGCAAAAAAGCAAGTTCTGCAGGCTCTAGTTTTGTCTAACCTTGATTATTGTCCAGTCGTGTGGTCCAGTGCTGCAAGGAAAGACCTAGTTAAGCTGCAGCTGGCACAAAACAGAGCGGCACATCTTGCTCTTCATTGTAATCAGAGGGCTGATATAAATACTATGCATGCCAGTCTCTCTTCGCTAAGAGTTGAGGAGAGACTGACTGCATCACTTCTTATTTTTATAAGAAACATGAATGTGTTGAAAATCCCAAATTGTTTGCATAGTCAACTTACACACAGCTCTGACACACACACTTACCCCACCAGACATGCCACCAGGGGTATTTTAACAGTCCCCAAATGCAGAACAAATTCAAGAAAAGTACAGTATTATATAGAGCCATTATTGCATGGAACTCCGTTCCATCTCATATTGCTCAAATAAACAGCAAACCTGGTTTCAAAAAACAGATAAAGCAACACCTCACGGCACAACGCCTCTCCCCTATTTGACCTAGATAGTTTGTGTGTATGTATTGATATGTAGGCTATGTGTGCCTTTAAAAAAAATTATGTATGTAGTTCTGTCCTTGAGCTGGTCTTGTCTATCAATGTTCTGTATTACGTCATGTTTCATGTTTTGTGTGGACCCCAGGAAGAGTAGCTGCTGCTTTTGCAACAGCTAATGGGGATCCTAATAAAATACCAAATACCAAATAACAAAGCTATGTACAGGGGGTACCGGTACCGAGTCAATGCGCGGGGGCACAGGTTAGTCGAGGTAATTGAGGTAATTTGTACATGTAGGTAGGGCTAAAGTGACTATGTATAGATAATAAACAGCGAGTAGCTGCAGTGTAAAAACAAAGGCGGGCGGGTCAATGTAAATAGTCCGGGTGGCCATTTGATTAATTGTTCAGCAGTCTTATGGCTTGGAGGTAGAAGCTGTTAAGGAGCCTTTTGGTCTTAGACTTGGCGCTCCGGTACCGCTTGCCGTGCCGTAGCAGAGAGAACAGTCCATGACTTGGGTGACTGGAGTCTTTGACAATTTTTTGGGCCTTCCTCTGACACCGCCTAGTATATACAGTGGGGAGAACAAGTATTTGATACACTGCCGATTTTGCAGGTTTTCCTACTTACAAAGCATGTAGAGGTCGGTAATTTTTTATCATAGGTACACTTCAACTGTGAGAGACGGAATCTAAAACAAAAATCCAGAAAATCACATTGTATGATTTTTAAGTAATTAATTTGCATTTTATTGCATGACATAAGTATTTGATCACCTACCAACCAGTAAGAATTCCGGCTCTCACAGACCTGTTAGTTTTCTTTAAGAAGCCCTCCTGTTCTCCACTCATTACCTGTATTAACTGCACCTGTTTGAACTCGTTACCTGTATAAAAGACACCTGTCTACACACTCAATCAAACAGACTCCAACCTCCACAATGGCCAAGACCAGAGAGCTGTGTAAGGACATCAGGGATAAAATTGTAGACCTGCACAAGGCTGGGATGGGCTACAGGACAATAGGCAAGCAGCTTGGTGAGAAGGCAACAATTGTTGGCGCAATTATTAGAAAATGGAAGAAGTTCAAGATGACGGTTAATCACCCTCGGTCTGGGGCTCCATGCAAGATCTCACCTAGTGGGGCATCAATAATTATGAGGAAGGTGAGGGATCAGCCCAGAACTACACGGCAGGACCTGGTCAATGACCTGAAGAGAGCTGGGACCACAGTCTCAAAGAAAACCAATAGTAACACACTACGCCGTCATGGATTAAAATCCTGCAGCGCACGCAAGGTCCCCCTGCTCAAGCCAGCGCATGTCCAGGCCCGTCTGAAGTTTGCTAATGACCATCTGGATGATCCAGAGGAGGAATGGGAGAAGGTCATGTGGTCTGATGAGACAAAAATAGAGATTTTTGGTCTAAACTCCACTCGCCGTGTTTGGAGGAAGAAGAAGGATGAGTACAACCCCAAGAACACCATCCCAACCGTGAAGCATGGAGGTGGAAACATCATTCTTTGGGGATGCTTTTCTGCCAAGGGGACAGGACGACTGCACCGTATTGAGGGGAGGATGGATGGGGCCATGTCGCGAGATCTTGGCCAACAACCTCCTTCCCTCAGTAAGAGCATTGAAGATGGGTTGTGGCTGGGTCTTCCAGCATGACAATGACCCGAAACACACAGCCAGGGCAACTAAGGAGTGGCTCCGTAAGAAGCATCTCAAGGTCCTGGAGTGGCCTAGCCAGTCTCCAGACCTGAACCCAATAGAACATCTTTGGAGGGAGCTGAAAGTCCGTATTGCCCAGCGACAGCCCCGAAACCTGAAGCATCTGGAGAAGGTCTGTATGGAGGAGTGGGCCAAAATCCCTGCTGCAGTGTGTGCAAACCTGGTCAAGACCTACAGGAAACGTATGATCTCTGTAATTGCAAACAAAGGTTTCTGTACCAAATATTAAGTTCTGCTTTTCTGATGTATGAAATACTTATGTCATGCAATAAAATGCAAATTAATTACTTCAAAATCATACAATGTGATTTTCTGGATTTTTGTTTTAGAGTCCGTCTCTCACAGTTGAAGTGTACCTATTATAGAAATTACAGACCTCTACATGCTTTGTAAGTAGGAAAACCTGCAAAATCGGCAGTGTATCAAATACTTGTTCTCCCCGCTGTAGGTCCTGGATGGCAGGAAGCTTGGCCCCAGTGATGTACTGGGCCGTACCCACTACCCTCTATAGCACCTTATGGTCAGATGCCGAGCAGTTGCCATATCAGGCGGTGATGCAACCAGTCAGGATGCTCTCGATGGTGCAGCTGTATAACTTTTTGAGGATCTGGGGACCCATGCCAAATCTTTTCTGTCTCCTGAGGGGGAAAATGTATTGTCTAGCCCTCTTCATGACTGTCTTAGTGTGTTTGGACCATGATAGTTCATTGGTGATGTGGACACCAAGGAACTTGAAACTCTCGACCTGCTCCACTACAGCCCTGTCGATGTTAATGGGGGCCTGTTTGGCCTGCCTTTTCCTGTAGTCCACGATCAGCTCCTTTGACTTGCTCACATTGAGGGAGAGGTTGTTGTCCTGGCACCACACTGCCAGGTCTCTGACCTCCTCCCTATAGGCTGTCTCATCGTTGTCAGTGATCAGGCCTACCACTGTTGTGTCATCAACAAACGTAATGATGGTGTTGGAGTCGTCTTTGGCCACGCAGTCGTGGGTGAACAGGGAGTACAGGAGGGGACTGAGCACGCACCACTGAGGGGCCCCCTTGTTGAGGATCAGCGTGGCAGATGTGTTGTTGCCTACCCTTACCACCTGGGGGCAGCCCGTCAGGAAGTTGAAGAGGGAGGTGTTTGTCCCAGGGTCCTTAGCTTAGTGATGAGTGAGGAATGCATGAATCAAGATATTTTGATGTGCAACCTTATCCATTGATTGTCATGAATTTTGGGTTGAAATTTAGACTATAGTTGCTATATTTTACTGTCAACATAGGACTACATAATTTCCAGATTATTTTAGTTCAATAGAGATGAATTGGATACATCTTTATGTGCACTAACTTAAATCATAGGCTAATTAATTTGGGGTTCAACAGCTGAGGAAGTAGAAACTCAAAACACATGAACTAGATTGCTAACTCTAAATATAATACCCACTGCTAGTAGCCATGTATTCATCCAACAGTAAATGTAATGTCCTAAAAAACTTTGCAGTTGTAGGCTACTACCTGTGAGACCTATAGGCCTCTGCCCTCCTAAAAGCCAGTGCGCATTTCGCGCACGCGTGCCGCTCTATATCTCAAAGCCAAATCAAATATCTTGGTTGTGAAATAGTTGCTATTGAGCTGAATATTGAGCGTTGAGAAGCTTCCAAAGCCGTTTTTTCCCCCGCAATTGCATTTAGATATGTTATAATTTACAATCAGAACGCATTTTTCTCGAGCGCATGGGAGGAGAGTGCCTCGCTCATCACAGCAGCAGGCCCCAGCAAAACAGGCACAGGGGCAGGGCAGACACATTCATTACAGGAATCATGAGGATAATGCACTTCAACCAACAATAGGACATTTTGAGTGAGGTGACAATGTAGAATGTGCTCTTTCTAAGTTTATCGGCACCAACTTTCCGTTTCTTATTATCCATTATCTTGGCTGTCTAATTGATGACGGAGCTGGTCTCTTTGCTAATGGCGTGTTTAACTTTGAATGTGAGTTTGTGTGACCTCAGCTCAGCCTATCAGAAAACCGATCATTCAAAGGCTCATTGTATATTATTATAGCAGAGAAATTTGGCAAAAATCTTTTACAAAAAATCTTAACAGGGCCATGGCCTGCTGGCCGCGGCACTATTTTCATTTTCCATTCTTCACGACCAGCCCACCCAACTAAAAAATGGTCCAGCCCATCTGGCATCTGCCAGAATTGCCAGATGGCCAATCCACCCCTGTTTCTGATAAGTGGGTGTTAGCCTACTCAGCCTACTCAATTGAATGGCTCTGGTGTCATCTTTATTAATCTTGAAAATGGTCCCTTCTGGTTTCCCCCCCAAAGAAACCCACCTTCTGTTCTGGTGAATCAGACTAGAATCTCAGGCCTAGCTATAACAGACACAGAAGCCATTCAAGTGAAGCTTGCCCAACAATAGTTGAGCAAGACTGTTTCAAAGGTAAATTAATGCCAACTCATGGGGAAAACTTATTTTGAAAGGCCACACTTGCTTGGTAGGCCTACTTGTTACATAATGACATCAGCCGCCTGAGCAGTAAGAGTGTGCCAGAGCTAGACTTGCCTCTTATGAAAGAGAAGGACTGTGTGGGGTGGGCCTCATTGAGAAATGCTAACAGCACCCAGAGACAAGAGACAGCGTTGGTCCACACACACTGATGAAGTGCAGAGGTCATGTCAGGTGATTTACCATACAGAGGGGAGAGAGGATGAATCTATAGGGCAGCATAGTACTACATATAAAGTTGCTGCACCTTTGCAAAAAAAAATACCAAATTTGGTTCCCCAGTGATACCACTGCTATAGCAATCATCAATTCATGATGAAGTAACTCTCAATCACTTTTGTAGATTATAACAGTAGTGTTACATTTTATGACTAAAATTCTCTCATAACTTGTCACACCAAGGGAGAGACGCTACAAATGTATATTATTCAGTCAGGCATGAAGAGTGTACATTACTGTATAAATCAATCTAAGAAGACATCAACAATCCATCATCTAAATTATATCACAGAGGGAGCTGTTTTATCATCAAAATAATGATCATAGCAGTTACAGTAGCTTATAAATAATTCTGAGAAACACACAAACACACAAACAATTGACAAAACGACATTCCCTATCCTAAAATAATTACGTTGATTGACAGTGTTGTGGATGCTATGCAGTGCATTTGTACCTGCAGTGATCAGGTATGCCGCCACTATGTTGTGCTCCAATTGTGAAAAGGCACTCTTTCCTCCGTAGGGAATGACCTCCCCTGTGGTGTTGACTCCAGACTCCATTCCAGTGTTTCAGTTGCCTCAGTGAAAAACACCATATAAACTAACAGTGAAATAATAGGAATCTTCTACACCAGCAAGATACCTTCCAGATTCTTATATGAGTCCACAGTAAACAAAACGTGGTCCATGCAAAATGATGGGAGCCTGTGAATGAGAAAGCTGAAACTAACGCTACCTCTCCTCCAAATACAGAGAATGAGGGAAATTCTGGAAAGCTTCGGAGTCTCCAAATAGTGTGTGTGCACATGTACGCACGTGCGTGCGTGTGTGTTGGAGAGTATAAAGGATTAGAGCGAACTTTCTCCCCCTTATTACCAGATACTGGGGAGGTTGTTGTTTGTGCATAACATGGGTAGGGGGAACACAAGAGAGGCTTACAAGTCACATGGAAGGTTTTCATAATGGAGTTGAAACCCACGTGAGTCCTGACTAAACATTAGAGCTGCACAGGGGAACAGAAATAAGGCAACAATTGCAGTTGTGAATGCAGTGGAGTGATATTGTGTCTGAAGAGCCTTGTTATGCCAAGTTACTCAAATGGATGGCTGTATATGTGGGTTCAGTTTGGGCCCTGGCCAGTTTCTGTGCATAACAACCCCCAGTCCCTTTCTCTGTGACATCTAGCAGGATTGTATTTGCAGATCAAAAATGGACAACGCAGTGTATCTACTAAATATTTGTAAGACTATAATGCAGAATTCACTACCATGTATCTAATACTATTGCTATGGCTATTGTTACTACTGCCACAATGATTACTGTTTGTTGTTACGACTGACTTTGTAAAGCAGGGAACCAATATTGACGTTCTGATGATACAGGGTTGAACTCACAGTTACTGATTAGTAAAGAACGACCATTACCATAGACTAGGTGCCACATCAACAATATTGGCCTTGCAGTGATGACTAATCAGCAACATGTAACTGACACAGAACCCCTCCACTGGTTTCTTGGGCTCAGTGCTAGTAAATGATGCTCAACCTGTCTTCATCATAAGGGAGGTTTCTGAGTCAAAGGTAGACAAGGTGATTAGCTCACTAAAGAACTCTAAAGCCAAAGATGTGTTTGGGATGGACTCTACCTTTCTTAAAAACTACAAAGAGTCACTCATTGGCCCCATTACTAAGGTCACCAACACATCTATTGGTCTCGGGGTGTTTCCAAGGGTATGGAAGTCGGCCATAATAACGGCCATCTTTAAATCAGGCGACCCTGCTGATGTGAGTAACTACAGGCCCATTAGTATACTACCTGTGGTGTCAAAGATTGTTGAAAAGTGTGTAGCAGAACAACTGATTGCCCACCTCAACAACAGCCCCTTCACATTACATTCCATGCAGTTTGGCTTCAGAGCGAAACACTCCACAGAAATGGCCAACTGCTTTTTTCTGGAAAATGTGAAGTCCAAGATGGACAAAGGGGGCGTTGTTGGGGCTCTGTTTCTGGACCTAAGGAAGGCTTTTGATACTGTTAACCATGAGATTCTCATCACAAAATTGTCCAAGTTCAACTTTTCCCCCGATGCCTTGAGATGGATGAAATCATACCTTGAAGGCAGAACTCAGTGTGTCAGAGTGAGCAATGAGCTGTCGCCCACTCTTAGCTATGATGTGGGTGTGCCCCAAGGGTCAATACTGGGGCCCCTCCTGTTCAGCCTGTACATTAATGATCTGCCTTCTGTCTGTACTGGGTCTGAAGTTCAAATGCATGCAGATGATACAGTGATATATGTGCATGCAAAGAGCAAACAACAAGCTGCACAAGAACTCACTACTGTAATGGTCCAGGTTACAAAGTGTCTCAGTGACTCGTGTTTGCATCTCAATGTGAAAAAAACTGTTTGCATGTTCTTCACAAAGGGGGCAACAGATGCTACTGAGCCAGAAGTCTATGTGTCAGGGGAGAAGCTCCAGGGGGTATCTGATTTTAAGTACCTTGGCATCATACTTGATTCCAACCTCTCTTTTAAAAAGCATGTGAAAAAGGTAATTCAAATAACCAAATTCAACCTAGCTAATTTCCGATTTATACGAAATTGTTTGACTACAGAGGTAGCAAAACTGTACTTCAAATCTATGATACTCCCCCACTTAACATACTGCTTGACTAGTTGGGCCCAAGCTTGCTGTACAACAGTAAGACCTATTCAGTCTGTCTACAAACAGGCTCTCAAAGTGCTTGATAGGAAGCCCAATAGCCATCATCACTGTCACATCCCTAGAAAGCATGAGCTCCTGAGTTGGGAAAATCTTGTGCAATACACCGATGCATGTCTTGTATTCAAGATCCTAAATGGCTTGGCTCCCCCTCCACTCAGTATTTTTGTTAAACAGAAAACCCAAACATATGGCAGCAGATCCACAAGGTCTGCCATGAGAGGTGACTGTGTAGTTCCCTTAAGGAAAAGCACCTTTAGTAAATCCGCTTTTTCTGTGAGAGCTTCCCATGTCTGGAATACACTGCCATCAGACACACATAACTGCACCACATATCACACTTTCACAAAATGCTTGAAGACATGGTTAAAGGTCAATCAGATTTGTGAACATGGTCCCTAGCTGTGTGTTGCCGCTTTCCATGTCTGTTGTCTGTAACTTGTGAGGTGTGGAAACACTTTGTTGCTTTTATGAATTTTGTCTTGCTGCTTTTTGTTCTATGTTGCTCGGTCTGTATGCTACATCTTGTTTGTCCTATGTTGCTATGTCTGTATGCTATGTCTTGTTCTATGTTGTTATTGTCTATATTGTAATTGTTTTTAATAACCTGCCCAGGGACTGCGGTTGAAAATTAGCCGGCTGGCTAAAACCGGCACATTTACTGAAACGTTGATTAATGTGCACTGTCCCTGTAAAAATAAACTCAAACTCAAACTCAAACTCAAGTAGGCTTGAGGCCGCTGGATAGCTGAGTGTCCAATGAGAACAATGACGGCTGAAGAGGACAGGGACACTTTCATTATGGTTGACCATGGCAGTTTGGCAGTTTGTCTCAAACCAGTATAATGTCTGAACAGAATTGATCACCAATTGCAACTGATACCGCAGCTTTAAGACGTGACTTTATTGAACATGCAGTAAGCAATTATTTCAATATCAGTGACATTGTTGATCTTTTTAACTACATCCTCCCCACAAACAACAGATCACAATTGGTTTAACACACACATGCAACATGTATCTTACTTTAATACGAAAATAAGTGTTTTTTGTCGTTCAAATAAAAAAACTAATATTGGACTAAAAATAGATTTACCAGTAGATATAATGAAATAATTAAAGAAAAAAATGTTGACAACAAACTAAGAGACTAAGCACTGGAAGATCAAGGCTGAGCATCTACATTACACGTTTCATTGGTTTGGCATTTTAGAAATTTTATTTTTGACTATTATTATTATTATTATTATTATTTTACCAAAAATAATATAGTTGGAGTCTCCTGCCTCAATCACATTCTTATTGGCTATTATTAGTATAGGAAGATATACAGTAGCTTACTTGAATGTTATCCAAAACAGCAACAACAAAAAACAAAGAAAAAACATTCAGATTTTTGCCCAAAGGCATGCTAGTTCAGCTAGTTCCATAAAGCCATTACTGGCACTTTGGCTGAGTTTACACAGAGAGCCCAATTCTGATATTTTTCCACTAATTGGTCTTTTGACCAATCAGATCAGCTCTTTCGCCAATAAATGGGCAAAATATCAGAATTGGGCTGCATGTGTAAACACAGTCTTTAAGGCATGGGATGGGGGATTGATTAGACTCAACTTCCTCCAGAAATCTTTATTCAAACTGATCCATATCCTCGGGGTTGTCCTGGAATCCAGAGGCCACTATCTCTCGCAGTTTCTTATTTCCTTTTCAGATGGTGGGGGTAAAACTGCATTTAGCTCATTTTAAATTTTCTCAAGTCTTGCTTTGGTCCTTGCCTTGTAAAGTTCATTGTTCTTCAGGACAAGAGCTTTGATTTCGTTTCTGGCGTCATCACAAGATGCAGCCAATGTTAAGCGTCCAGCTTTGAAAGTTGGGTCTTTGGGATCCAAAGCCATGAGTCTTCCTAGGCTGCTGACTCTGTCCATCAAGTACTTGCTGGAGACCTCAGTGTAGGTTCCAGATATCATATTCACCAGATTTACAATGTTGGAAGCTTGAAATGCCTGTTGGTTTATCATATCCTTCAAGAACATACTTGAGTCATACTTCAGGTGTGGGTTCCTGGCTGTTTTGACAAAATCCTGCAGGGATGTCTTCAGACAGGTGTCAATGATATTTGACACCATCTGGAAGAATTGCACCATCAATCAATCAACTGATTGATTGATTGCCATTTCTCCTGCAGCTCTCCCATTGCAGTTAGACCTTCAGTCTCGGTGTGACTTGCAGATCCTGAGCTTGCGCTTCGTGCTTTGCTCATTCAGGCGGATTAACAGAAAAGGTTTGTGTCTTCGACCAATCAGGTATCATCTGTTCTGTCTTCTCATTTAATAACTTTGACCATTCGATTTGGTCCTTCTGAATGAGGCCAACTAAGGATTGGGCAATAGCAAGAAGCATTCAAGACTTGCTAACAATATTGTTTGTTGCAAACATGTTTTTAGGACTTCCTGATGTATCAAATTTTGTATGTACAGTGAGGGAAAAAAGTATTTGATCCCCTGCTGATTTTGTACGTTTGCCCACTGACAAAGACATGATAAGTCTATAATTTTAATGGTAGGTTTATTTGAACAGTGAGAGACAGAATAACAACCAATAAATCCAGAAAAACGCATGTCAAAAATGTTATAAATTGATTTGCTGGGTGTTATCGTCCACCATCAGCACCAGCCTGTACCCTACCTGTCCTAAGCTCTCTACTGGCCCCTTACACTAAGTCTGAATTTGTCCTGCTAGGTGACCTAAACTGGGACATGCTTAAACCACCTGACCAAGTCCTAAAGCAATGGGACTCTCTAAATCTTTCTCAGATTATTACCAATCCCACAAGGTATGACT